TTTGCATGTTTTGTTTTACATGAACTTCCCTAAACTAGTAAAAAGTATTCTAACAAGCAATACTGTTATTATTAGCTATATTACACACCCCATGAAAATTCCTTTAACCAAATTAGAGAATTATTAGAGGGTTAAAACTTCCTAATATAAATTTTAAAACATATATGGTTACATGTATGGGTAAAGAAAGACTAGAGTATATTACTAGAGGATCTATAAGCTATATTTTGGAAAAAGCCAATTTAAATTAAAAACTGTAACTACTGTGTTAAGGCCTATTGAAATTACATATCTTTGTACAAAATGCCAATTAATAAAATTTCAGAATCTAACAAATATAATTCAGCCAGTATGCAGAGAACTACTTCATTTAATTTTTAATTATTTTTCCAGACAGGCTCTTACTCTGTAAACCAGGCTAGAGTGCAAGGGTGGGATCAGAGTTCACTGCAGCCTTAATGCCTTGGTTCAAGCAATTCTTCCATCTCAGCTTTCCAAGTAAGTAGCTGGGACTACAGGCACATGCCACCATGCCCAGCTAATTTTTTTTTTTTCACTTTTTTTTTTAGAGGCAGAATCTTGGTATGTCGACCAGGCTAATCTCAAACTCCTGGCCTCAAGTGGTGGTCCTCCCATCTCAGCCTCCTGAGTCACTGGGATTATAAGTACTCAAACCTCATTTTATAATGTCCCATTTCTTAATCACATTAGTAAATTTATTTACTAATGGGGAGGACTTAAATGAAGAATGCTAGAAAATACATCATTTTACCTCACAAAAACACTTTTAAAACTATAAGACAAATAATAATTTATGGGAAAAACCCCAGCTACTGAGATAAATATGCATTTACAAATAGCAGTGCAGTTTCTTTACTAAAACATATCCTCTATATATGTGTGTGTACATATATGTGTATCAATCAGAAGGGTTAGAACAGTAAATATGAACCAGAAACTAGCAGAGCAAAATAAAATGTCACCTAATAATATGACCTGATTAATGGTTAGAAGTTATGGCTAACCCCAACAATTTTTTTTTAAATAAAGCTGGTAGCTACTGACTAGCACTTGCTAACTAAAAAAAAAAAAAGAAAGAAAAAAATCCAGACTTCAAATAATTAAGAATTGAGCATTTTTTGCATGCTTTCTCATAATCAAGTAATAAGTCAATATTCAGAACAGCAGAAATACTCAGAGATGAAAGTAAATAATTAAGATGAATTGTAAGGAATTACATAAAATTTTGTCTACCAGCTACTATAAAGCACTGTGCAAACCAACTGTATGAGTAGTTGCTGAGTTATATACCCTCCACTGAATACAGATATCTAAACAGGTACAAAGGATTTATAAAATGTTGCAGAAATGAGGACACATTGAAAAACATATCTGTGCACAACAAACATTTGAGTCCACTATATAGACAATAGTTTGCAATCTATTTCAAATGTGCCACATTTTTCTTGCCTCTTTCATTCAAATAATATTTACAATGCCAGGCACTGAGTCATTATTTTCTAATTACATACCTTTTAGGTCCACGCTTGGAATTGATTTCCTTTTGAAGAGCTGTCTCCAGTACCTCAAAACCAGGCTAATATTTATCCCCTAGCATGCTGTCCTTACTCCACAAAGGGTTTTCCTTCCTTAAGACCCTATTTGTGCATTTGTAACTAACCAGCAAGTAGACTCTATGCATCGGGACTATCTCTTATTAACTCAATTACCAAGACTTAGCCAAACAAGGTGAATAGAGTTACTAGTGAAAGAGGCATCTTCCAATGTGTTAGCTGAAACAGGTGAAATCATACCAGAAAGCATCAACCTTTTCGATAAGGGGTTCTAAAACATTTTGGTAGCATGGATCCTGTCAGTAATATGGTAAAGCCTAAGAACCGCTTTCTTAGAATGAAATTAATTAAAACACAAAATAAAATACCTAAGATTTAAAAAAATTAAAATATAAGTATTTTAGGTGCTTTTTTGTTAGTATATTAAATTATAGGCTCTACCATAATTTTTGAAGCATAAGCTATATTTAGAGAATTATAAATAAATGTGAAATCATATTTTAAAAACCATTATTTTCATCACTCACAAGCTTACAGGTACCGTTAACTAATCAAATTTCTACATGGGATTATTTCCAATGATATTAACAGGCTTCATAGATTGCTATATGAAACAACTATGTAATATCAGAATAAGGAAACTCTATACACCATGAACCATTTCAAAGTGAATAAAGTCCAGAACTTCAGTAAACTCTCATCAAAATTTCTATTAAACGATAATGGAAAAAAGTATTTAAAAGTACTGAACTGACCTATCTCCTTCATTGTCAAAACAGTGCCTAATACAGTGCCATATATCTATAGTGGGGAATAGTTCAAAATAATTCACTAAGTTTACTATTACTCTGAGACACCATGCTAAGCAGTAGAGATACAAAGATTAATGACATCTGATCTCTTTGTAGGCGGAACAGAGAAGTTAGCAAGGGAAACAAATGTTTAAACAAATGATTATCACAAAATAAATTACATCATAGAGTTATAAACCTAGTGTCCCAGCAACATAGAAAACTAGGTATAAATAATGCTATTTTTAACCTTATTATATAAGCACAAATGTGAGAGGTCAAAGAAATCAAATGGCAAATGTAGATCAAAATTATGAAACCATTTTATGATAGAAAATTAATTGCAGATGATGATAAGAGATGACTGCAACACTCTTTATATTATAAAATATTCTTCTTTTAATGCAAAGTCATAGGAAAAAAACACAGCTGCCAGTGTCAGAAGCACTGTAGGACTATATGAAATGTACACTAACAAAAAGGAGATTTGACATAACAGATGGAATATCAAAATGAGCCATACTGGTTATTCCAAGTAGAGTGCTACAAGTAACATAACTTCCAGACTGTTTTTTCACATTTAACTTAATTCCCACAATACTCAGAGAATTTCAATATATCTTGTCTTTATTAATTAAATCAATCCTACTGATCACCAATCACGATAAAAAACCTGCTCCCTTAATCAAAGATGACTTAAGATATTACAGGATAGAGTATTCAAAGTGCTTTATAAAATAGTATCTCCATATAATGATAATCTCTTACTATCATTCTTCATTTGAAAAGATGAACAGAAGGAGAAAAGGATGGGCTTTTCCCCATCAATTTTAAGTGATATAACCATTTCTGAAAACTAAGATAAAAACAATATGCTCCTCAGATAACATCAACCAAATGGGTAAGATCTGAAAAGACTGCAAGTTTCTGATGACTATACCAGCTCTGAAAAAAAAAAAGAGTAGTTTTATTTACAAAGTATTTTTAAAATATAGATTGAGCATCCCTAATCTGAAAAACCAAAATCCTCCCAAAAATTTATGTTCTTCCTATAACACAAACCAAAATGCTCTGAAATGCTCCAAAACTGGAGGGCTGACATGATGCCACAACTGGAGAATCCACACCTGACCTCATGTACTAAGTCTCAGTTAAAACGCAGTGAAAACTATGTTTCCCGCACAAAATCACTTAAAATCCTGTATAAAATCACCTTCAGGCTATGTGTATACGGTGTACATGAAACAAATTTTGTGTTTAGACTTGAGTCCCACCCCCAGGATAACTCATTATATATGCAAATATTCCAAAAGCAAAAAATATATATATACATATTGAAATCAGAAAGACTTCTGGTCCCAAGCATTTCAGATATATAGTACTCTATCTGTAACTTGTTTCCTACCACTGGAAGTATTACACCAACTCCATACTGTGAAAAATGGTCATTTAAAGAGAGAGAGAGAATTAGGCATTTATACTGCTTTTGATATGTAGGAGAAATGTTGTTTACTCCTGGCTGATGAGAGAAAATGTTTTCTACAGAAGAATAACAGTCAATAAATGCAGAGACCAGGGCAGAATTAAGAAAACAACCCACCATTCTACAACCTTCAATGTAACAAAATTATTAATTAAAAAGTTGCCTCAGAAATAATGTCAAAATGATATACCGCAGAATACTTGTTAATCTCCACAAGAAAACCCTATTTCCAATAATGTAGATATGTGATTGTCATTACCTATTCATGTGATCAAATATAGCACCACAAATAGAGAGACAACCTAAAATAATGTGTCTCCCATGGGAATGAAATTATGTAGACAGCAATACTTATGAAGTTTAGAAACAAACAAACAAAAACTCCTCAGCCTGAATGGATTTATACCTCTAAACTTAACTTCCAGTTAACAGATATCCAAGGAATGGAGAAATATAAAAACATGCATAGTGGCAACACTTTGGGAGGCTAATGCAAGATAATTGCTTGAGGCCACAAGTTCAGGATCAGTCTGGGCAGCACAGTGAGACTCTGTATCTTTTTTAAAAAATAATTTAAAAATTAAATAAAAAATTTAAAAACTTATAAATGCAGAATTTAAGACAACTGCTTGTGACACTGCAAAAAAAATTAAGAGGTACAAATCATATGCTATATTAAAAGGAACTAAAGAGATATAACAAAAAGGAGCAAACCTTAAGAACAAACAGAAAAACAAAGAGCGCCATTAAACAAAATCAGAGAAAATTAAATTAGCTTACAAAGTGTTGTAAGTTACACAGAAACTTCAAGTTACAAAAAAAGTACTGCTCATATCCATTAATATTCTAGTTTGGAATACTGAAGTTCTTGGAGTAATTATAAATAGAAATTAATATAACTCAGTAACACTGCTTAAACGGCTACTGTTTAGTAGCTACTTTATTGAGAATAAAACTAATTTTAGAGTATTAAATTTTTATCATAAATTCATTTATTCAATATGATAGTAACTTTTCTAATATACACTGATGCATGAAGAAAACTCAGATTCCATATTCCATATTTGGCTGGAAAACCCATTATATAAATGGTCTACAAAAGAGAGAGAGAGAGAGAGAGAGAGAGAGAGAGAGAGAGAGAGAGAAACTTACCACTTGTATTAAAAGCCATGCAGCACACTGGCTTTTCATGGGCAGGGAAGTGGGCCACAATGCCATCACTGTCAGAATCCTCACTCACAAGCACCTTCGCGAAAGAAATAAAGACAAATGGAGGTAAATATTTTCTCACAAATAACCAAGCTTGAAGACTATTTTAACGTACATCACAATACCACTGACCAAATAACGTTTCCACTCTAGTAAATTATGTTTGTCAATATAAGGAGAGAATTCCATTTTAGAATCAAGAAAGAGATATAAGATGCCCCTAAGCAGATCAGTCATATAAACTGTAAAAAGAGTCAGCTAACTTGACTGTAGATGACAGAAACAATTACTTCTTCAAGTACAGGTTCAGAGAAAAAAAAATACAATCAACTACTTTCGATTCTTTACAAAATCACTTAGAGCTTTATCCAAGGACGGGAAATCATATAGATCTTACTGTGTTATGAGATCTGCTGGAAAATCACATTTTTTTTTTGCCCATTATTGAAATATAACATGAGAACAAGGAAAATAACATGTTAAACATAAACAAGGAGGTGTATAGAGAAATCACCCAATAACATTTTCATACTATAGTTTGAAAGTTGTGTTCTTCAACTCCTAGTTTACAGAGAGAAATAGAAAAACTTTGAAACTACTACCAAATCATAAAAGCAGAGGTGTATTAGTAGGTAGCTCTGTATCTCAAATGGAGTTTCTTTTAATCACTCCTCTTAATTTTTAAGGCTATATTAAAACATAATTTATATCCATATAATTTCCCATCGTAAGTTCAACAACTTTTAAAAAACTGTTCTTATCTAATGTTTCAGAAAGAAAACCTATTACACCAATTTTGGAATATGATATTTAGATGCAGAGAAATTTAATTTTAAGTAACCTTGGAAGTTGTCCTACACTGGCAATGCTAATATTTTTCTTTCAAAAATGCATGTTAGACTAAAGTCCTACTATGTGTAAAATACCCTGCTAAGAGCTCAGAATAAAGCTAAATGTTATTCCTGCCCTGAAAGATACAGAGTAAATGACTAGAACAGTTTTTCTATAAGTTACAACATATTTGCAAATATAGCCCAAAAAACAATGTACTTAAGCACCACGATAGTATTTGTGTGCATGAAAGTTTTACAAAGATACAACTTGCATACGATAAAAGCTACCCATTTTAACTTTACAGTTCAATGATGCTATACAATATCATAACGATCACAAGCCATCACAAAAATGTCTGAAATGTTATCCTTTCCAATCTTTAAAATTTATTGCTCTAGCTAGAACCTCCACTTCAATCTAGCCACAAATACATTGATTATATTGATCTTTTCAAAGAATCAATTTTAGATTTTTCCAATATTTCACTGTTTGCTGTTCCATCAATTTCTATCCAGATCTTTATTATTTGCTTAATTTGCCTTGCATTGGTTATAATTTGCTCCTCTTTTTATAATCTTTTAAGGGAAACACTTGCATTATTAATTTCAGACCATATTCTTTTCCTAACATAAACATTTAAAGCTGTACATTTTCTTCCATATAATAGTATAGCTACACTCTTTAAATTTTTATATGTTCTGTTTTCATTTTCATTCAATTCAAAATATTTTCTAATGTCCCTAAGCTTCTTTCTTCGACCCATGAGTAATTTACAAGTATGTTTTATTTCCAAATATTTGGAAATCCTCCAAATTGAATATTGTTATTGATTTTCACTGTCCTTAGAGAAATACTCTGCATGTCTTTAATCCTTTTAAAGTTATTGAGATTTGTTTCATGGCCAGCAACTGTTCTATCATGTAAAATGAATGTCCCAGATGTTTTTGAAATTAATGTGCATTCTGAAGGTTTTGGGTGGTCAGGTTGGTAAATAACGTCAATCATGTCTTCTAAGTCTTTTCTAATTTTCTATCCAATTGTTCTATCAATTATTTTTAATAGAGAAATAGTCTTACATGTTTACTAACATGCATGGGGAAAATTACAGAGTGCTTACTCATATCAACTAATGAGAATAAATTATTGAAAGCTTGGGCTGTAACAAAGAGCTAAAATTTCTTCTTTCAATTTTGTCAGAATTTGTTCAATGTTTTCAGGGGCTGTTTTGCTAGGTACTTATGCACTAAATTGTTTTATTAGTTATACATATTAATAATGGTTTTCTAGAACAAGTATCACTGAGCAAAAAAAGAAAAAATTGTTTTATCTGTATTATGTATTAACAATTGTTATATCATATTGACCTTTTTATCATGAATGAAAGAAATGTCTCTCTTTACACTAGCAATACTTCTTGATGTAAAGTCTTTAAAATTACTATAGCCACTCTAATTCTATTACGGTTATTGTTTAAATGACATATTTTTTTAAATTTCAACTTTTTTTTTTTTTTTTTTTTTTTTTGAGACACGAGTTTCGCTCTGTTGCCAGGCTGGAGTTCAGTGGCACAACCTTGGCTCACTGCAACCTCTGCCTCCTGGGTTCAAGTGATTCTCTTATCTCAGCCTCCCAAGTAGCTGGGATTACAGGCGTACACACCACGCCCAGCTAAATTTTTTTTGTATTTTTAGTAGAGATGGGGTTTCTCCATGTTGGTCAGGCTGGTCTCAAACTCCCAACCTCAGATGATCTGCCCGCCTCAGCTTCCCAAAGTGCTGAGATTACAGATGTGAACCACCGCACCAAGCTGAGTTTTATTTTTTTGACCCACATCACTCAGAAAATTTTCTTGCTTTGGTACTGTCCTATAGGTACAAAATATACCGTCATTCAGGTTAAGATGAAGGAAGTAAGGTGAAAGCCATGTGCAACTTACTGTTAGTCTAAAATTATTTCAAAACTAAAAGTTAAAAATATAGAATATATTGCAAGCTTTTGAGTGGCTCAGTTTCTGATAAGTAAAAAGTGGTATCTCGCTTCTAATTTGCAGCTCTCTTATATTAATAACAAGTGAAGTTGTGGGTATACTTTAAATCATTTATATGTATAGTTGACCTTTGAACAACTCATGTTTTACAAGTGCTAACCCTCCGCACAGCTGAAAATCTGCATATGACTTTGCTTCCCCAGTATTTAGCTAGTGATAGCCTACTATTGACTGAAAGCCTAAATGATGACAAAGAATTACCAACTAACACATATTTCGTATGTTATTCGTATTATAGATTACATTCTTACAATAAAGCATTATTTACTGTTCATTAAGTGAAAGTGAATCAATCTTAAAGATCTTCCTCTTCAATGTCTTCAAAATGAGTAAGCTAAGGAGAAGGAGGAAAGCCAGGAAAAGAAGGGGTTGATCTTGCTGTCTAAGGGCTGGTAGTAACAAATAAAATCCACATATAAGTGGACCTGTGCAGTTCAAACCCATGTTGTTCAATGGCCAACCATATTTTATTTTTTTCTGTGAAATATCCATTTCTATATTTTGCCCTTTTTTCTACTTTAAACTTTATCTACGAGATTCCTTTTCCTTTCGTATATTATAATCCTACACCCTATATGTTTCCTTCCAACACAATTAGCATTGAGTATTCAATCTGATGGCAATAATAAAGACAGAAGCCATCCAGCAAAAAGGCACATTAATCTTACCACTACATAAGATTCTTTGAATGTTTTCTTTATGGATTTCACAAATATAAACAACCAGATACTTTTGGAATAATGTTCTCCATTGCATCATCATCTAGCCTAAAACATTAAACCATTAATGTCAGAGATATTCCAATATAATTTTCCTAAGACATGGAATCTTTACTCACCACTTATCAAAGCAGGATGAACTCTTAAGTCTGTATTAACAACCTGACTACATTAAACAAAGCAGAGTACATGAATTGATTTAAGGTGGATAAGCCTTTATCATATGAACAAAACACCTCAGAAGCTATTAAATTATTATGAATAACACTTGCTCGTCAAGCAAGAAATAGCTCAGATTTATGTCATCATTCTGAAGTATTTTATTTCCATTAGAGATTTTGCCACATTGCTAACTTCAACTACCTAAACGTGTAAAAAGCAAATTATACCACTTAACTTATTCTGGTCAAGAAATGCTTTTAAATAAAACATGAAGGTAACACAGATAAAAATGGATGCAAAGTCAATCAAATCCATTCCTCCTTAATGCAGTTAACACACAATGATCCCATCACCATAAAATCAAACTAATCAATATGGCATCAGAAAGATGGTGAATCCGATTTTATATACTACCATTGTAAACACCAAAAATATCATTATTAAAGCCTCGATGGATTTAAACAGAAAAAGTCAATGTATTGTCAGCTTTTCATATACAATCTAAGTTATATCTGGAAAAGGAAAAATACTACAGTTTAGGTTAAACATCAACCGAAGGAGCTAAAAGCAATAAATCTATGACATTAACCACTGCAGTTTGAATACAATCCGGCATAATCTAAAAAGAGGCTGTACTCCAACTGAACTACTTATCAGAGAAAAAAAATCTTATAGACAAAAAAACAGATTCATGTTAATTAAAAGAAAGACAGACAGTATCATACTGTACAAATCTTGCTTTAAAAATTTTAACTCTTTAAAAATGTACATACTAATTTCCCTTTTATTGAAAATCCATTTCTTTCCTGTCCTCTAACAGAATTTTTTAATCAAGTTAAAATTTCGGAATATGTCATAAGTGGAAGATTGGGGATACCAACCAATAACAGAAAAGGTAGAATATTCTATGTTGAACAACATTTAAGATTCTTAACTTTCAAAAGTTAGTATTTCTATGATTCTTCTTAATGAATGTATTTGTTTCAAGTGTTATCAATGCAATTTATCACAAACAAATGAACTTTTGCAACTCTACAATCTATAGTCTATTCCTATACTCCAAAATGAAGACTTCCTTTTTAAAGGTCATATAAAGTTAATGAACTTGAAGAAAAAAATTAAACCACCTTTTAAAACATAAGGCCTAAATGTTACATTTTTATGTATGTCCCCATTCTTCCATTTAACAAAATAAATATACACATTAAACTTCTATTCCATCAAAAATGCTGAGATAATATTTTCTCTTTTGAAATAACCCCAAATCTCTCCATCAACAAATGCTGGATCTTTAATAGATGTATGGACCTAGACAATGCTGAGGAGACTTGCTACCACCCAATAAATGTGGGTGGCCTTATAGGTGAATTACTTAAGAATAAAAAATCAAAGAACAAAAGGAATTTTTTCACTCTAACACTCACAACACTAAAGGTTAATACATTTCATTTCCAATAAAAAAGAGAACATTTGTGTGTATCCAGATCAACTAATTAACAGAGTTATTACAGTCAACTGAAAAGTTTTCCAGCACTTCATCAAAAAAATACAAATTTGTAACATATTTGGCTAACCACAAAGTTAAGACAGGAGAGGCAGAGAATTATTATTCAGATTTCAAGTAAAATACAACAGCCAAATTTAATAACCCACAATTTCAAAGGTTTTTTTTGTTGTTGTTTTAATTGCAATAAAATTTTCTTGATGCCATTAATCTTACTATAGCAACTAGCACATAAGAAGCTGCCATGTGTAATTTTTCATCAAGATGTCAACCCATATATAGTGGAAACATTTTCTCAAAACATATGTGCCGGGCGCGGTGGCTCAAGCCTGTAATCCCAGCACTTTGGGAGGCCGAGGTGGGTGGATCACGAGGTCAAGAGATCGAGACCATCCTGGTCAACATGGTGAAACCCCGTCTCTACTAAAAATACAAAAAATTAGCTGGGCATGGTGGTGCATGCCTGTAATCCCAGCTACTGAGGAGGCTGAGGCAGGAGAATTGCCTGAACCCAGGAGGCGGAGGTTGCAGTGAGCCGAGATTGTGCCATTGCACTCCAGCCTGGGTAACAAGAGCGAAACTCCGTCTCAAAAAAAAAAAAAAAAAGAAAACATATGCAATATTTAAGGTTAATACTCTAACAGCTCACACAGTTTCTAACCATTGTGTTCTGAATACATAATTATATATTCTATATAAAAACTAACAGGAATTTTATTTCATGAATACTGCCTATTCCTATCTCACTCTAGGAATTGATTTTAGATTGCATTTTTATATCAATGAGCACACAGTATCAGAATAAAAAAAAATTACCTTCCTTTAAGAAACATTTATTTAAAATGAAGACTATGATATAAAAGAAAACAAAGTTTAAGAGTGCATGGGGGAAAAAACACAACCCAAATGTTATCTTACCAGCAAGATTTATATGCAAAGGTAACATGTATTTTCATGCTTATAATCACCCATTGTAAATGTTTCTGAAGATTTATATGCAAAGGTAACATGTATTTTCATGCTTATAATCACCCATTGTAAATGTTTCTGAAGGTAGATTTTTAAAATTTCAGAACATTGTATCAGAAGACACAAGATTTTATAATAAGCTATTGCCACATATGCAATCTGATATGCTACTTTAAGATTTCACATATTTTTATAGATAAGGAAATATCTGTTATAAACTGTGATACTACTCACTAAATTATGTAACTTGCACCTATTAATTAATTTTTATAAATTCCTCTAAATAAGTATGGTCCTGCCTTTAAAAAGAAATTTATATGACCAGGGGCAGTGGCTCACGCCTGGAATCCTAGTATTTTGGGAGGCCCAAGCAGGCATATCATCTGAGGCTAGGAGTTCAAAACCAGCCAGGAACAAAATGGCAAAACCCTGTCCTTACTAAAATTACAAAAATTAAGGCTGAGGCCGGGCGCGGTGGCTCAAGCTTGTAATCCCAGCACTTTGGGAGGCCAAGGTGGGTGGATCACGAGGCCGAGAGATCGAGACCATCCTGGTCAACATGGTGAAACCCCGTCTCTACTAAAAATACAAAAAGTTAGCTGGGCATGGTGGCACGTGCCTGTCATCCCAGCTACTCAGGCTGAGGCAGGAGAATTGCCTGAACCCAGGAGGCGGAGGTTGCGGTGAGCCGAGATCGCGCCATTGCACTCCAGCCTGGGTAACAAAAGCGAAACTCCGTCTCAAAAAAAAAAAAATTAAGGCTGAGCACAGTGACTTCCAGCATTTTGGGAGGCTGAGGCAGGCAGATCACTTGAGGTCAGGAGTTCAAGACTAGCCTGGCCAACATGGAGAAACTTGACTCTACTGAAAAATACAAAAATTAACAGGGCATGGTGGCACACACCTATAATCCCAGCTACTCGGAAGGCTGAGGCAGGAGAATCACCTGAACCCAGGAGGCAGAGGTTGCAGTGAGCCGAGATCATGCCATTGCACTCCAGCCTGGTGGACAGAGTAAGACTCTGTCTCAATCAATCAATCAATAATAAAAACATAAAAATAAGCTGAGCATGGTGACACGTGCCTATAATCCCAGCTACTCAGGAGGCTGTGGCAGAAGAGTCACCTCAACCCAGGAGGCAGAGAATGCAGCAAGCCAAGATTACTCCACTGAACTCCAGCCTGGGCAACAGAGTGACACATCATCTCAAAAAAGAAAGCAAGAAAGAAAAAGAAAATTATTAATCTTATAATTTACGTTATGACAAATGTCATTACACACGAAAAAGAAGCAATAGTTGAGTCTCTGGGGTGGCAAGTTAAGAAGAAAAAGACTATTATGAACAGAACAGTATGAAACGTTACATAATTATGTATTTATGAAACAAATATCCTCGGAGAGCAAGAAGAGAATCTTAGAACCTTAGAACCTTGACTTTGCCTTTTAGAACCTTGACTTTGCCTTCATGTTTGAGAGATTAATAATGTTCAAAGTAACAGGTTTTAACATGTTACTCATCATTTTTAAAGAAACACCTCATCTGAAATAATCTCAATTCCTAAAATTCCAAATTAATAATCTCCTAGGCCAAATACATTTTGACTAATCTTGATCTTAGCCCTGTCTTTGCAGGTAACACACATTGGCGCACACCAAAAGTTCTTCTTACCTGGCCCTCTCCAACAGTTTCAGTGTCAATAACTGTGATGATGCCTGGGACCAAAGGACTCCGCCGTGAATTACTGTGGATGGCAACGTCATCTTCTGTCACACCTGAAGGCAGTGTGCCTGTCAGCTGAGTCACCACTTTCCCTACCATTGTCAAGCCACTTTTCAATGTCTGTACAATAAAGGTAAAATATATGACTTCACATGAGTATTTGGATACTACATAGAAATACGCATTTTTTTAGTTTTCCTAATCATAATGTTAAACTCTTTATTCTCTTACAATATTTGATATAGCAGTAAACTGCACAGATATTTGGCCTGACTTTTAATGACCTTGAATTTTAATTAGAATATAAGTATTAGTTAGAGGGAATGGCATCTGTAAAGTCTTTAAAGTCTTTTGATATACCAAAATTTACATCTTTAAAGACTTTACTGATGCCATTCTCTCAAACTAAGACTTCACCATGGCAGGGATAAAGCCATAGTTAAACAAATTAAAGAGCTCTGTTTTACATAAGGGTACAATTACATTTTTATAAAAGATATTTCTTTCATTCCCTCCTCTTAATGTATACATCTTAAAATTAATGACATAGAAGCAGCAACTATGAAATGTTCAATTTTTGAAATATTGTAAATTTAATTGTATATTTATTTTCTAGTATGAAAAAGACTGAGACATTAGTAGAATACATATGTGGAAAAGAATGTGCTTCCAAAGCAAATCTATAAATATGCTGTTACATAATACTGTATACCAAGATTTAGCATACAGAAAATACAGTCTCTGTTCAAGATATTAATTACTGGATGAATGAAGTATCATACTAAACTAGTTAAGAGAGTTATTTTCTATCTGGTAACAGAAAAAAACTAAAATGTGGTGCTCCTACTATATTATTTCAATTAAAGATAACAAGATGTTTATAATTACATTTTAGTTCCATTTCATTCAAAACAAAAGAGTAAAACTAACTCATGTAATATACTTTCTTCTATGTAATTATCTGATTATCCTCATACACATTAATAGAAAAATTTCTTTAAATAACAAGTTTTTTCATCTGAAAGGAAGAAAGCTTCAAGTTCCTGAGTCTATAGAAAACAAAATGAAAGGAAGAAAGCTACCAAAGACAAATATATGTGAGTCACACATTGCTGAAGAGTGTCATCATTAGAACCAAAACAGGCAGCCTAGAATACACAGATATATCAAAAATTACATTTTAAATAATATTAGGTACATCTTTCCAATTCTCATGTTGTAAGAAAAAAGTTTCATTAAAATATTTCAAGTTAATCCTCAATGAGGTGACTATCTTTTCTACAATAATTATGAAAAAAAAAATCCTCATCTAGTTCTGGCACATGCTATGGCTAAATTTGAGAATATAAACTATTATATACATGGTATTTCAAATTTTAATTCATAAAATGTGATTTAAGCAACAATTAGATTAAAATTGAAAAGGAGAGAAGAATTTTACAAAGAAATGTTCTATTAAAATACCATAAAACTAGCACTAATAATAGATGCATATTTTACTGTAGCTATGTTCCACAGTGCCTTTTCTATGGACTAGGGACTGGTGAAGGCACTTAACATAAACTATGTTGGTAGATTTTCTCAGATACTTCAATTTTATGAAAGAGAAAATTGAGGCTAGGGAAATTAAGCAAAATGGCAGCTCAAACAGTTACCCAATGACAAAGTCAGAATTCAAAACAGGGATCATCCTTCTCCACAGCCTGATTTTTAACCACTATCCTGTACTATCTTGTAATCTATTTCTGTTACTACTTGTGATCTCACATCTAATGAATATAAAACACAGATGTCTGATGGGTAGAAAAGAGGAAAAATTAAGATCCGTAATAATGTACTAATAAATACTTAAATTAAAATGACCAGCAAAGCTATCTGCTGAATTCAAACAAAAAGATATAACTTACAGCTGACTAAAACCAAGAGAAAGCCACAAATCAATTGTAATTGTTTTGTTTAGTGCTAAAAACTCAAACTCCAGTGATTATAAAACACATTAGTGTTCCTCAATTAGCAGCCAAACATTTCTTTCAATAATTCACAAGAAATGACTTACATAAAGTCTGTTAGAGTGTTGTCAAGTAAGCCTCTGAAGGACCAACAGAATCAGGCGCCACAGTGTATTGATGTCAAGAGCAGGCCAGGAAGGCTGATTAACCTCTGAGATGCCTCAGCTGATGTACTCACTCCATTAATGCTAATGGAGATGCTCCCACTTAAATGCAGCTATCCCTTTATCAAAGGAATGCCTTTTAGTTTCAAAGTCTTTGGTTGTATATCCTCCCCATTTGCCCTTGAGCCTATTAGTTCATGCTCTTATACCAATGAATAGGAATAAAACTAAAAGAACTGGAGCACATAAAAAGTAGAAAGTAATGTACCAAAGCAAACCACAAGATAACAGTAAAAGTTAACATAAGAGAACCAGGGAAAAGATTCACAAAGAAAGAGAAGACAGCAGTATATTTCATAGTCAATGGCTCATATTACATGAAGAGTGCTTGATATTTCCTGGGGATGGGGTGGGAGGGTGTGGGGGCAACTATGACTATTGATGGAGTCATCTTATTAGTGGACAGAAATCTAAACTCAAAATTTAAGTAATCAAATCTGCACTTTGTATAGCAAGTTACAAGATACTACTATTTATCATAACCATTAACTATTCAGAGAGCCAAGGTGGTTATAGAGAAGTGCTGAAAGTTTCCTGCATTTGTAAAAACCCTTGCTTTTAGGGTAAACTTGTTTCCATGTTAGAATCAAGCACATCTATGAGCACTAGTGTCCAGAAGTTAACTAATAATATTATTTAATGCAAATCTAAATCACCTCACAGTAATTTGTCTCTCGAATTAATTTTAGTAAACAGAATATGTATATACCTATTTTCTCAAATATATATGAAAAACTATAAAGCCTCAACAAAAAATAGAAATGGAGAAGTATAATCTGGACAAAATGAAAACTTAGACTGAGTATCCTCACAATCCAAGGTATCTACATAAAAAAGTTCATTAAATCACTGATTAATCTTCACACGAGTACTCACAGAACTAAACTGTAGCTGTAAGACAGCTGAACATTAGAGACTATAACGAAAGTGTGAGAAAATCCGTTATGACCTATAATTCCAATGAGCATGGTACTTATTCTGTTCTGCTGCAAGCAGATTTGCCAAAGGGTCACTAGTCATCTTTAACCTTTCCCATGCCATATCAGTTGGCCTCCCTATCCATTAGTGCTAATGGTGCTGCTCTCACAAAAGCTGTTAGTTGTCATTAAGAAGTTATCAGATAACAAGAGAAAACAGGGGCAGTTTTATTAAATCAATTGACCACACTGGGGTTAACCCACATGAAAATAAGATTATAATGAGGAAACTAGAAAATATGGACCAAGATTTTATAAATGTGTCAAATAATCTCATGTGAAGAATTTCAATATTAACTTTTTTCTTTATCCCTGCCATAGAAGATTCATGACTCTCATATTATTAATGAGAAAAGTCAAATTACTTGTGATGAAAATCAAAGGAAAAACATTAGTAGCATAAATATTATAAAGCTGAATTTGAAAATGCAGAAACTGTAAAAAAGATTATTTCCTCTAAGGAGCTCCAAGTGTATATGCAATGAATATATTTATCCTCACATGCAGTGAGACAAAAAAATTTAAGACAAAAAAATTAATAATTAATCCTTCTATATAACAAAGTGGCTAATAACCTCCATGAAGCCACAAAGGAAGCCATCATCAGAAAGAGTAAAAAAGAGTAGTATGTTTTCAGAGAAAGTGACTTAATAAAATAACTGTAAAATTACTTTAAGACTTTTTCTTAAGGAGCACATACTACATGGCCTTTTAACATACTTTCCATGTTGTATCTCAAAAAATTTATCACGTAGAAATAAAAAACATATTTTCTATTTTTAATAATGACAGGCTGGGGATGTCAGATCAACCTGATTTCCACTAATGAGAACAACTAGGAAAATAATAGAGAGTATTTTTGTAAAATGCTGCTTGAAAGTACTGAATATTTAACAACACGGTGAAGAGTTACAAGGTCAGAATCAGAAAGAATAAGGAAATCCAGACATTTCAGCTGGGCGTTTAGGCCTAGAGGTATCTGGTGATTCTAGGAAGCAGGAGGTAGGATGCTAAAAAACTAAGTGTGTTTTTGATAGCGAAAGTCATATATGAGAGTCAAAGGCCTCTCAAATGGGTCTACCTAGGGATATTCCCTCCAAGTTTGTATTTGAACATAAAGAAATACACAATAGAAGAGTGCACCTACAGCAATAAAGGGAGCACAGCTATTGCAGGTGAACTTATTTAAATAATCTCAATCCCTAAAACTGGATTATTATTCAAGATTAATACTGTCCCAGAACTCCACTGTCATCCCAAACTCAAAACTATTTCTAAAAAGTTTGAAGTAAATTCTGGCAAATAAGTTTCATAGGAGTTAAAATGAAATTATTTAGGCAGTTAGTGAGAGTAAAAAATCAGCCCCCAAATCATTTCTTTTCTAACAAAAAGCAGCCTAAAACATCAAGCTGCAAGCATAGATAAGCAAGCTGGAAGCTTGCATAGGTGAATGCTAGCAGCTGTGACAACAGAAAAGGGATCCCTGGAAGTCAGATATATTCAACACAGAGGTTCCCTCTTCCCTTTTCTTTATCACCATGTGTGCAGGTGACATGGCACCAGCCAGGTAGAGACTCCATTTGCATAATAAAAAATTATGTTTGGATAGCCAGCCTCTACACGTGCTATGTAAATGGCACACCTAATCCAACCAATCCACTACACCCTATGTAAATCAAACACTGCCTCCTCAAGCTCATCTATAAAACCAATCGCATCTTGCCCCAAACCCAGAAACCGGCTCCAGCCCCCTCCCTCTTGGGAGGAAGCTCTCTTCTTTCTTTCGCCTATTAAACTTCTGCTCTTAAACCCACCCCTTGTGTGTCTGCGTCTTCAATTTCCTTGGTATGAGACAAAAACCTCAGTTATTACCCCAGACAAACACCACCACTTCACAAGAACTCATGTCATTATAAATGAGAACCGGCAGAAACAACACACAACAGAAACGGACCCAAAAGGGAACCAGACATTAGAGTTATCAGAAACAGACTTCAGTATGACTAGGTTTACTGTGTTTAAACAAGTTTGATAATTTGAGAAAATTTTAAAAATCCAGAGAACCAGAAATTATATTTATGAAGATATTATCAATGAATATATGTTCAGTTTTATCAAATAGTTTTTATTCATCTATTGAGATAAGCATATAATTTTCTCCTGTTAAATGTGCAAATTATGCTCATTGATCTTGAGTAATAAACCAGTCTTACACTGTGGTTTATCTCAAATGGATTGTGGCACATTATATATTATCTTATATACTAGAGAATTATGTCCTATATATTCTTATACTAAATGGATTGTGACACAGCATATATTGTGTCCTATATATTACTTATGTCCTATATATACTTATCCCAAATGGACTGTGACACAATATATTGTATTCCATATAATGATGTTTTTCTGCAAATATTTTATTTAAGATTTTTCGCATCTATGTTCATTGATTCAGACTGTAGTGTTCTTGAATTATAATGCTCTTATCAAGTTTTAGTATTGAGGTGATCTGGCTTCATCAAACCAGATTGCGCATAATCTGAGTTTTCTTATTCTCTGGAAGAGTCTTTGTAATTTTGACATTGTTTATTCTTAAAGGTTAAAAAGGATTCTCTAGACGTTGCTAGGTCTGGAAATCTCTTTGTGGGTTTAAAAAAAAAAAAAAAAAAAAAAAACCCTTATATTCTCTCAAACAGAAAAGTTAAGAGATTACACATGTATGAGTTTTCACAAGTTAACACACTAAGAGGAGTATAACACATAATGAAAGAGTAACAAGGAGAAAAATATATTTAGAATTATACTATGTAATTAGAGCAGTCATTCTGATGTAGTTACCACACAAAAGTAGAACTTTGCCGGGCGCGGTGGCTCAAGCCTGTAATCCCAGCACTTTGGGAGGCCAAGGCGGGTGGATCACGAGGTCGAGAGATCAAGACCATCCTGGTCAACATGGTGAAACCCCGTCTCTACTAAAAATACAAAAAACTAGCTGGGCGTGGTGGCGTGTGCCTGTAATCCCAGCTATTTAGGAGGCTGAGGCAGGAGAATTGCCTGAGCCCAAGAGGCGGAGGTTGCGGTGAGCCATAATCACGCCATTGCACTCCAGCCTGGGTAACAAGAGCGAAACTCCATCTCAAAAAAAAAAAAAAAAAGTAGAACTTTGTCATACCTCAAAAAGTTAATTTAACTACAAACATTTAGAAGGTAATATCCAATACCTTATTGGGAGAAATTATCATTTAGCAGGAGAAATCATTCCAACTTTTCAATCTTTTCTATATAAAATATCCAAACTTTTAAAGTGAAATGTGGGGAGTTGGGGAGAGAGAGTATGGGAGAAATGCCAGATATAGGTGATGGGGAAGAAGGCAGCAAATCACACTGCCACGTGTTCACCTATGCAACAATCTTGCATGTTCTTCACATGTACCCCAAAACCTAAAATGCAATAAAATTTTTTTTTTAAAAAGTGAAATGAAGGATCCCTCTATGTCTAGAAAAAGTTGTGGGGTGGTTTTGGTTTTGTGTGTTTTGTTTTGTTTGTTTTGTTTTCTTTTGTTTTGTTTTGTTTTGTTTTGTTTTGTTTTGTTTTGTTTTGTTTTGTTTGAGACAGAGTCTCACTCTGTCACCCAGGCTGGAGTGCAGTGGCCCAGTCTCAGCTCACTGCAACCTCTGCCTCCCAGGTTCAAGTGATTCTCCTGCCTCAACCTCCTGAGTAGCTGGGATTACAGGCAGGCACCACCACATTCAGCTAATTTTGGGGGTTTTTTTGGTTTGTTTTTGAGGAAGAGTTTCACTCTTGTTGCCCAGCCTGGAGTGCAATGGCACGATCTCGGCTCACCGCAATGTCCACCTTCCTGGTTCAAGAGATTCTCCTGCCTCAACCTCCCAAGTAGCTGGGATTATAGGCATGCAACACCACGCCCAGCTAATTTTGTTATTTTTAGTAAAGAGGTTTTCTCCATGTTGGTCAGGCTGGTCTCGAACTCCTGATCTCAGGTGATCTGCCTGCCTCGGCCTCCCAAAGTGCTGGTATTATAGGCATGAGCCACCACACCCAGCTTAGAAAAAGTTTTAACAAAATAATTTGACAATATGTTTTAATTCCAAAATATTCATATGCTCTGACTAGGAGTCCAATATTATTGGGATATGGAAAAATGTATATATATAATATATGAACATGAAAAAATGTTTTCAACAATATTTAATGACATTTGAGTTAGATATATTTATTGTAAGTTAAAAGGTCAGGGTACACTATATAATTAGATTCAGAGTGTTTCTAAAAATTAAACATGCAGACCAGGCACAGTGGCTGATGCCTGTAATTCCAGCCCTTGAGAAGACCAAGGCATGAAGATTGCTTGAGCCAGGAGTTGGAGGTTTTGGTGAACCATGAGCATAACACTGCACTCCCAGCAAAGCAAGACTGTCTCAAAAAAGAAAAAAATGTTAAATATAAATAAGTAATAACAATTTAAAATATGCATGTATACACAAACACACATGCTATCAAAAGACGGGTAACCTTAATGTTCATTAGTGATTTTTTCCCTTTATTTTGTAAATTTATAATCATGAATATGAATAAGCATTGACATCAGGCAAAAACAATTAAACTAAAATTAAATGTTACCCACTTTATTCAAAAACCAATTGCAGAAATTTATACATTGCCAGAGCTTAGAATGAATTATAACCAACCTACTAATGGCCAATAGCCTACTGAAAATTGAACTAAGATTTTTTTTTTTTTTTTTTTTTTTTGAGACAGAATCTCACACTGTTGTCCAGGCTGGAGTGCAGTGCAATGGACTGCTGGTGCAATCATGGCTCACTGTAGCCTTGGCCTCCAAAGCTCAAGAAAACTTCCCACCTCAGCTTCTGGAGTAGGTGGGACAGCAGGCACGCACCACCACACTCAGATTATTTTTAAATTTGTTTTTTAGAGACAGGGTCTCACTATGTTGCCTACCTAAGCTGGTCTCAAATTCCTGAGCTCATGTGATTCTCCCACCTCGGCTTCCCAAAGTGCTGGGATTACAGGCATGAGCCACAGTATCCAGTCCTAAGGTGTTATATTAAACATAATTTCTTAGAGTCTTAAAAGTGGAAGACATGAGTATATGCCTCACAGTTCCCAATACTGAGGTATGAGAAAGTGGGGAGTCTACACTTGTTGTTTTATTTTTATTTAGTTATTTACTTTGAGACGGAGTCTCACTCTGAAGCCCAGGTTGGAATCTAGTGGTGTGATCTCGGCTCACTGCAACCTCTACCTCCCAGGTTCAAGCAATTGTCTGCCTCAGCCTCCTGAGTAGCTGGGATTACAGGCACCTGCCACCATGCTGGGCTGATCTTTGTGTTTTTAGTAGAGAGGGGTTTCACCATCTTGGCCAGGCTGGTCTTGAACCCCTGACCTCGTGATCCACCTGCCTCGGCCTCCCAAAGTGCTGGCATTACTAGTGTGAGCGGCTGCATCTGGCCTGCACTTGTTATTTTTAAAACGTCTTAAGTCCAGTCTCACTCCCTCCAGCAGGTCCACAACAAAACACAGACTGAGGTCACTTTGTTTTTATATAAGCGCATAAAAACATAAGAATAGCAAACAGGAGCTGAAAAGTTATTCTCCATTCCATAACTGAAAATTACTCAAAATGATCATAAGCTAAGCTATTGTGATCCATGTGTATGAGACAGAGAAGTTGAAAAGGAGTCTAATACTTGAGATAAACATCTCATTGTTATATTTTGTGGATAAATAAAGAGACTAATACTAAAGATGCTTTCTAAATACTCTCTCTTAGCTCTTCATTGAAATAGCCATCATAATTTTTTCTACACAATTAGAAAAGTGAGCAATCTTTATTAAGATCTCTGTAACTGCTGGGTGTGGTAGTGCACACCTATAACCCCAGCACTTTGGGAGGCTGAGATGGGCGAACTGTTTGAGCTCAGAAGTTCAAGACCAGCCTGGGTAACAAGGCAAAACCCTGTCTCTACAAACTATACAAAAAATTAGCAGGGCATGGCAGCACGCGCTTGTAGTCCCAGCTACTTGGGAGGCTGAGGTGGATGTTCACTCCAGCCTAAGCTGTCAGAGCGAGACCCTGTCTTAAGAAAAAAAAAAATTTTCTGAAATCTAAAATTCATAGTGCTATAGGCATAAAGGTTAATTATCTTTTGGGTACAAAATATGTAATGCTTCTCTCATCAAACCAAGGAACACATTCTGAAGCACATCATGTAAGCGTCTGTGATCAAATATGAAGTATTTTTGTATTTGTTTTACATAAAACAGTGTGACCTTTGATTCCCACTCCGTGGTTTGCTTTCAACTGTTGTTCTTTTCTCAATGGTTGTGCTTTCTGTTATATGCTGTCATTTAGATTCACTCTGTCATTCCTATTATTAGAATTGTTTTGTTATATACTTCACAATTCAAAAGGTTAGTGGTTATAAGAATACCCTATAATCAGCATAAAGTTTACCAGCCATCATCAAAATTACCCTCATACACATGAAAAAAAAAGAGCTCACTTGACAAACATGAAGGGGCAGCCCCTTGATATGAAAGAATCTTTGAATGTGACAAGGAGCTGATTCAAGTTTTCACAGGGAATAATATTCCTTTCATGAGAAGAAGACTCAGAAATGTTCAAAGATGCAAAGGGAGGTCAGTGTAGGTAGAATGATGCAAATCACAGAGAATCCAGAAGTCACTGTTTAAAACATGGAAAGCTTCTTCCAAATGTGGTAGTAATTTGATAACAGATTTGAAGCTAGCTAACAAACTTAAAATATTTAAAATTGGAGAAGTACAAGCACTACAATCATTACAATAGAAAATATAATTCAGGAAAGAAAACTGAACAATTACTACACATAATCACAACTCTCCGAGATTTCAGAGGTACTCACTTTAGCAGCACTAATAACTGTGGCAGTGTAAGACTGAATGTTGTCTCCACAGGCTCCACCACGGGACTGATGACATCGAATCAACTGAGAAAAAGAAAGGGAGAAAAGCAGAAGGTCATTTCTATTACTCAGTTTAACTCTGCAAGCTATTAGGATAGAGCTTATTCACCATGCATAGTGATGGTGATGGGAGGGAATGTTTGCATGAGTGTATTTCAGACAAACAGCTAAAAGCGCTGCTGAGACATTTTTACCCCTTTTTATAATCTACTGGTGCCACTCAGGCAGTTTCATGCTCAACTACAGTTTTAATTACAAGATGAATAGTCTTTAAGAATCCATAAACTCTGAAATGGTAGAATTGGGGTCTGGTGGCCTTTCCACAAATAAATTTTAAAAACATACTCAAAGGACTTACACATGACTTCCTAACTTAAATCTCTGACATGTTAACAAATTATATGTTTTATCCTGTTAATTCCTCCACAAAGTTTATAAAAGAAAATATAAAAAGTAGACAAAAGATTTTGCCATATTTACATTTTCAACTGTGGCAATGGAAAAGTGTTACAATTATGTGTAAATCAACTATGACACATATACCAGCTGTCCACTTCAGAGAGCTTAAGCTTTTACCATTAGGAATAAAAAAGACATATCCTTATTTGTGACTGACGTGAATAAAGCAAACTGCCAATTTTCAAAGTGAATCCCTACTTTGAGATACATGATTATTTCATATGCTAAGTAATAAGCCAGGATTAAATTCACCACTGGTCCTCACTTCCTACATTTAGTAAAAATGTCATTAGCCAGATTTGTATGTTTAACATTTTTAAAAAACAAAATGACAAGGGTAGAATATTAGAACCGCACATCATGAGTTTTTTAAAACCTTTGGAATTCACAGAGAATCTGTATCTCCCAAAACATAAAAATTAAAAATGCTTTACATAGTTTAAAACCAGATCCTCTGATGAAGATTGATATGTAATTTTTATTCTTAATTCAAAAATTTCTTTATAACTGACATCGTTATTTTAAATATCCCTGAAAGCAATAGTAATATAATAGAATGGAAAACCCTTAGAAGTATGATATGATACAAAGTCAAGATTTTTTTTTAGGCCATCTGTTATGTCACACTGAATGACTGCTTAAGTAGATTTCAAAGAGAGAAGTGAGGAATTTTCCAAATGATAGGTGGTCATCAAATGTGGTTTCACATAGAGTGATCATTTTAGCAAACAGAATCTTTTTCTCACTCACTCATTCAACCACAAATACACATTTGAAGAATTATGAAAATTATTCCTCTGCTGCCTCCTGCTGCATGAGCAAGGAAAGAAAGGTTATTGCTTATTCTCTGCTTCTGGCAATTAAAATACTCAAGGACAAACATATAAAAATAAACAACACTCTTACCTTCCTTTCCTTCTTTTTTTTTTTTTTTCCAGAGACAGAGTATCACTCTATCACCCAGGCTGGAGTGCAGTGGTATCATTTCAGCTCACTGCAACCTCTGCCCCTCGGGTTGAGGCAATTTTCCTGCCTCAGACTCCCAAGTAGCTGGGATTACAGGCATGCACCACCACACCTGGCTATTTTTTGTGTGTGTATTTTTAGTAGATATGAGGTTTTGCCATGTTGGCCAAGCTGGTCTCAAACTCCTGACCTCAAGTGATCCACCCACCTTAGCTTTCTAAAGCGCTGGGACTACAGGCGTGAGCCACCATGCCTGGTCTTATTATTACCTTTCAAATTCAACTGAGTCAGTAGATCTACATAAAAGTAACTAAGTAAGAAATTTTGGTCTAAAATTTAGAATCATCAGAAAATTACATTTGCATCTTAGTTCAACAAAATTAAAGACAAGTCAGAATTTTCCACAGTGCAAAATTCTATCAAATCAACTAGTTTCCAGGAAATATTATGGAGAAAAAGAAAAAAAAAAAAAAACAGTTTTCTAAAGAACATATATACTATGTTATTTTTGTAAAAGAAAGGATTGGTCAAGAACCATTTCATGCTCATCTCCTCCACACAGGAAAACCAAAATAATGCAAGGAGAGTCACACTTCAAATACATTGTCCAAGGAAGAAAACTAGAATTCATCAGAGAAGTAACAAGAAACAGCAAAAGTAGGTAGGAGAAAGAAGACAGCCTGCTTGGCTAGGATAGGCTGAGAGTGACTTCCTAACACAAGGCAAGGATAAGTAAGAGAACTCCAGCAGCCCACTTCCCCCACCATTGAATCATGCAATCTTAGCCAGAGGAGAGACCCTCAACCCTCCCAAGCCCTGAAACTTAACATAGGAAGATGTTGGGAGACTGCTGAACAGAACTGCTACAGGGAGGGTCCTATACACTTTCTGAGACCTAAGTGGCTATAGCAAGACACCATTCTCTTTTCTTTTTCTTTTCTTTTCTTTTTTTAAAGAGACAGGGTCTTACCACATTGCACAGGCCGGAGTGCAGTGGCTATTCACAGCTGCCATCCCACTACTGATCAGCATGGGAATTCTGATCTGCTCTATTTCCAATCTGGGCTGATTCACCCCTCCTTAGGCAACCTGGTGGTTCCCCACTCCTGTGAGGTCACCATATTGATGCTGAACTTGGTACAGACACCCACTTGGCATAGTGCACTACAGCCCAGAACTCCTGAACTCAAGCAACCTTCCTAACTCTGCCTCCCAAGCAGCTGGAACTACAGGCACAAGCCACCATGACCAGTAAGACACCATCTTCAAACCTAGTTATTGGCAGATGGCATGCTGCGCTGGGGCCTAGTAGTGCTGGGACTGAGGTGTTAGAAAAACAAACAAACAAACAAAAAGCTTGGAGGCCAGGTGCAGTGGCTCAAGCCTGTAATCCCAACACTTTGGGAGTTCAAGGCAGGCGGATCACAAGATTAGGAGTTCAAGACCAGCCTGGCCAACATGGTGAAACCCAGTCTCTACTGAAAATACAAAAATTAGCTAGGCATGGTATTGCATGCCTGTAATCCTAGCTACTCAGGAGGCTGGAGCAAGAGAATTGCTTGAACCTGGAGGTGGAGGTTGCAGTGAACTGAGATCACACCACTGTACTCCAGCCCCAGCAGCAGAGCAAGACCCAGTCTCAGAGGAAAACAAAACAAAACAAAACAAAAACCTCAGGCTGTCACTGCTGGGAATAGGGTGTGATCTGGGCACACTCCCGCAGTAGGGGCTGAGAATCAAGTAAAGCATGGGCTGTAGCAGCTACCAATGCAGGAAAGCAAGTGCTACCAGGACAGAGACGAGACATGCATGAGTTGCCACTGAGACAATGTACATCACTGTGCCAATGTACATCACTCTGGGGCACAAGGATAGTCATACTCAGCCCAATGCTGCCACCACTGCATACTGATGACCAGCCAACTTGGCAACCCAGTCTCCAGCAAAACTTCACCACAGCCACCACTAATAACCACACCCTGATTCATTAAGTAAATAATAGATACCCCCAATGATGTATACAGCAAAAAAAAAAAGACTACATTACTGTATACACCCAGAATCAAGACCAAGACCAAGTTGCCCTACCCAACCAGTACTACAGATACATCTTCATCCATAAAAAAGTCCTCTATGAAAATAAATGTAAAAGTATGAAGAGGTAACTGTTGCACCAGATGTGCAAATATCAATGTAATGGCACAGGAAACTTGAAAAATGAAGAAAATATGATGCCTCCAAAGAAACACAATTCTCCAGCTTCAGATTCAATCGAAAAGAAATTTATGAAATCCCAGACATAGGACTCAAATAATTTAAAACAATCTTGTGAGATACAAGAAAATTCTGAAAAATAATACAGATATATCAGAAAAACAACTCAGAATATAAATGAGAAATTTACCAGAGAGATGGATATCTTTTTTTTTCTTTTTTTCTTCTTTTTTTTTTGAGACGGAGTTTCGCTCGTTACCCGGGCTGGAGTGCAATGGCGCGATCTCGGCTGACCACAACCTCCGCCTCCTGGGTTCAAGCAATTCTCCTGCCTCAGCCTCGTGAGTAGCTGGGATTACAGGCACGCACCACCATGTCCAGCTAATTTTTTGTATTTTTAGTAGAGACGGGGTTTCACCATGTCGACCAGGATGGTCTCGATCTCTTGACCTCATGATCCACCTGCCTCGGCCTCCCAAAGTGCTGGGATTACAGGCTTGAGCCACTGCGCCCAGCCCAGAGATGAGTATCTTTTAAAAGAGTCAAATAGAAATTCTGGCCAAGTACAGTGGCTTATGCCTGTAATCCCAGCACTATAGGAGGTCAAGGCAGGAAGACTGCTTGAGCCAAGGAGTTCAAGACCAGCTTGGGCAACATGGCAAGACCCTATCTATACCAAAGAAAAAAAAATTAGCCTGGTGTGGTGGCACACACCTATAGACCCAGCTACTCAGTCAGGAAGCTGAGGCAGGAGAATCCTTGGGAGTCAAGGCTGCAGTGAGCCATGACTGCACCACTGAACTTTAGCCTGAATGACACGGTAAGATCAGTGAGATCCTGTCTCTTTAAAAAAAAAATTAAATTTTTAAATTTTTTAAACATAAAAATAAAAAAAGAAATTCTGGAAGTGAAGAATATATTGGAGCAAACAGAAAACACATTAGAAAGTTTTAACAATTCACTACATCAGGCAAAAGAGAGAATCTCAGAACTTGAAGATAGATCTTTTTTTTTTTTTTTTTTTTTTTGAGATGGAGTTTCACTCGTTACCCAGGCTGGAGTGCAATGGTGCATCTCGGCTCACCGCAATCTCCGCCTCCTGGGTTCAGGCAATTCTCCTGCCTCAGCCTCCTGAGTAGCTGGGATTACAGGCACGTGCCACCATGCCCAGCTAATTTTTTGCATTTTTAGTAGAGACGGGGTTTCACCATATTCACCAGGATGGTCTCGATCCCTCGACCTCGTGATCCACCCGCCTCGGCCTCCCAAAGTGCTAGGATTACAGGCTTGAGCCACCGCGCCCGGCCAAAGATAGATCTTTTAAAAACAATCCTAAAGTTCATATACAAGAAAAAAAAAAAAAGGCCTAAACAGCCAAAGCAGCC